AACAATTTATATGAAAAATGAAGTGAAGTGAAGGGAAGGGATTTACAAAATAACCCCCTTAGATCTATTTATTGTATAACGGGAATAACTTGAGTTGTCATAGAATCCAATCATTGTCGGAATTAGATTTGAAAACGACAAATAACATATCGTCACCTGAAATGCAAAAGTTCGTAACAACACTAAAGAATTTTACAAGAATGACAAATACTAAATAAAATATAAACAATTTTGGTTTTGGAATGTATCCTGAAAATGTATTAATTCGCAATAGTAATTCAGAGCGCAAATTAAGTAATTAAACTAGCTGTGACAATATGGTTGATTTTTTTTTAATAGAAGAATACTTAGCCGCCTTACAGCAGATTTTAAGCCGCCGTCGAAGCTTTTGGTGTCAGCCACCGCCGCCGTTAATAATATATTTGCTAAATTTCCAACACTGTCGAAGAAAAGTCGGAAAATTCAATATATGAAGAAGCAGAGACTTGCGCCGATTCGGCTTAAGCCGAACGAAATGTCAAAGCCGCCGCCGCCGAAGATTTTTCAGCTTAATACGGCTTGAAAATTTCGCCATATTTTGTACAATTTACAGAATACTTTCGCTAAATTTGTGGAATTTTACAATATAAAATTAATTTGTTTTCATTTAAGCAAGTTTTCTTTTATCTAAGCCGCTCATTGAAATTTGGCCGGTGTAGAACTTTGCTCAACCTTCGATGTATATGCTTCGCCTCAGATATTTTCGTGTTTTCGCGCCTAATTCGAGTCGCTGCTTTGACTTCAAACCAGCTTCGTTGACGTCAACGGAGCTGGTATGTCATACCGTAAAGGGCTAGAGGGTATCGAACATGTGTATTTCAAATGGGAAGTGCAGTTGATGTCAATTCTGCCGACTGCGAAAAGAAATTCTGCTAGAATTTTTCGCGCCAAACTGTTTTCTGCATTTTTTATTTGCCAAAGGCAAAAAAATCTGTTGTTGTGTGTGTGCGAAAATCTAAAATGACAGAAATGATATTCTTTAAATAAAAAAATAATTTTTTTACTAAAAATTGAAATTAATAAGGTTGTATGCTATAATACTACTATACCGAGGATCATTGTACAAAGAAACAGCAAGTGTTGGGTTGAATTTAGTTAAATTGTTAATAAATATGATGAAATTTTTTTAAGGCAGGGTTTGTTTTCGTTTAACACCCAAAAGTGTTTATCGAAATCTATATTTGGCATATTTGTGAGATCTAGAAGATTAAAAAATGTAAGTAATGGTGTTAATTAATTATTTATTTGTCTATAAAGAACGTCTTTCTTTTTAAGAAAGAGGAGGCATCATGATGGTCTCCTGGAAGAATGCCCACAAGAGAGTGGCAATTGTATACCTCCCTAGTAGACTAGGCGGGTGGTGGTCGGTCGGCTAGTGGTGACATGTTATATTATCACCTAGAGGCAATGGAAGGAAGCTGATTGCCGTATTCAGGGGGTATCCTTGAGATACATACTTATTATTATACCATTGATCTTAGCAGAATCACTACCATACACCCATAATAGAGCGCGATGTCTGTCAGGTGTGTCTTTCAGTGAAGCTCTTGTTGTCTCCAAACACTATGGTGGCCGAATATTTACAAGAAACAATTGTTAAGCCGTCTTTTATACAAATTTATAGCTTTGTAGAGAATGTCTTCACGGGCCTAGAGGATATAACCTGGCTAGGTATGTAGATGTTGTTTGGGCAAAATATTGGTACTAACCATTGTGGGCTTTATGTCGACTTTAGATCCCTTATAGTTGTCACACTATACCAAATAAGCATTCTTGCTGGAATTAAAGTTTAAAACAAGTTTAATTCCAGTCAAACATTCAAATTTCAAGTGTTGAAATTCACTTTCATTACACTTTAATTCAATAGCATTCTCCAGTGAAAACGAAACTTCAATTCAAGTCGAACATTAGAATGTTTTTACAGTATAATTCAATGCACGAAATCTATATATGTACATACATACATACATATATAAAATTCTAACGTTACTGACTGACTGATTCATCATCGCACAGCCTAAACGATTTTAGCTGAAGAGCTTAAATTTGTACAGGAGGTTGGTCTCCCACCAAATAGATCCACTAAGACGGAATTTTTGGAAATTCGAATGATTAGGGGGTTAAAAATGGTAAAAACGGGTAAATTCGGTAACCTCATATCTCCTAAACTATAAAGGATACAAAAACAGTTTAAAGCTTATCGTCATTCATTTAAAATATAAGCGGGCAGGTGTCCGGTAATTTTTTCAAATTCGGCCCCTTTGGGGATTAAACGATTAAAAACTGTAATTTGGTACTTCTTTTGCACCCCATGTATCTTTTAAACCAGAGAACATTCAAAAAATATTTTTGAATCCTTCATAACTTGACGAACAAATAAAAATATGAATTTAGTACTTTTTGGATATTCGGACGTTTAAGGGGTGAAAATTGTACCTATTTTTGGTACTTTTTTTTATAAAACATTGTTTTTGGTTTATTAACTTAACATATGAATACATAATAACGGGCTCCCAATACGATGTTGCAACTGGTACTTTTTTGACTTAGAATTTAGAAACATGTAATTAAGCACTTGAGAATCTATAAAAGTGGACTTTTTGGTACTTTTTAGTTCTTCAAAAGGCACTTTTTGAGTTTTCTATTAAATTGAACATAGAAACATGAAATTATGCACGTAGAGCCTGGAGTAAATGAGAATCTATAAAATGGCACTTTTTGGTACTTTTTCGTTCTTTGACTGGTACTTTTTGAGCTTGCTACAAAATTTGAACCTCGAAACATAAAATTAAGCACTTAGAGCCTGGAGTAAATGAGAATCTATAAAATGGGAACTTTATCGTACTTCGACTGGTACTTTTTGAGTTTTTTATAAAATTAAACCTAGAAACATAAAAATAAATATGTAGAGCCCGGAGTAAATTATAATCTATAAAAAGGGACTTTTTAGTACTTTTTCGTTCTTCGACTGGTACTTTTTGAATTTTTTATAATATTGAACCTAGAAAAATGAAATTAAGAATGTACAGCCCGAATTAAGTGATAACATTTAAAAGGGGACTTTTTGGAACTTTTTCGTTCTTCAACTGGTTCTATTTGAATTTTCTATTACATATAATGAACCTAAAAACATAAAACTAAGCAATCAGGGACTTGAGTGAATGAAAATTTAAACTGGAGTATTTCTGGTAATTTTTCGTTCTTTAACTGGTACTTTTTGAATTTTCTAAAATATTGAATATATAAACATAAAATTAAACACGCATTATCCTAATTGAACGAAAATGTATCTCGCTTACGTCCATTTTGCAAAAATGGCTCGATATCAATCGAAATTTCTATAGGCCATAATTGACCCTGCCCCCTTCAATAATTGATTTTAACGTTTTTTACGTACTTAATAATACCATAATAAAACAATTTTTGTTGGAACGAAAATATGTAATGCAAATATGTATATGAAATCTTCTTGAGAAAATGACTTAAACGCACATAAATGGATTTCAAATGTCGATGTCGACGAAAAAAACATTTTTAGGAACCGAAAAATAAAGTTATGAGGATCGGTCCGCCAATATAACCCTCTTACAGAAAATCAGTTTATAGCTAATACATCATTCCAAAAGTTATCATTATGATAGAATTATAGTAGAATTAAAAAAAAATACTTTAAATTATATATATTATTGATCCAAATCCACATTTAAGTGCCTAATCTGAAAATCACGGTGACGTTCTTATTAATCTAATGATCGGACCACTTCCGAAATTTGTTTTTTTACGACATATGATTTGCCGAATATAACTCTTACTTCTTACTTATTTTAATCATAAATTACCGCTAAAATAGGAATAGTCTGCCTTTAAAGTTGCGAGTTTTCATACATTCTAATAATGTTTTCAAAGTGAAACTTTTGGAATATTTTTCAATCTCTTTGTGATCCCTTTAAATGATGTTGTTCTGGAAGAACTTTAACATCCATGTAAACATTTTGGGTAATAAATTGGGGGACTACCAATGAGGGGAGCGGAACCTCCCATATGAATTAAATACAAAAATTCGTTTATCTGGGAAACTAATATAACTAAATTCTTCAAATTTTGCCCGAACAACTTTAATATTCATCTGAACATTTTGGAGAAAAAAGGGCGGACTTTCATCTGGGTGGCTTGGAGCTCCCATATGAATTAAATAGAAAAAATCGTATATCTGAGAAACTATTAGAGCTAGAATCTTCAAATTTTACTGAAGAACATTTAGAGAATAACGGGCGAACTTTCAATGGGGGGCTTGGCACTTCCCATATGAATTAAATACAAAATTTTGTATATCTGGAAACTATTAGATTATTCAAATTTTTCATAGATTAAATTAAACGTGGAATCTCCCATATGTAACAAATTGTATATCTGGAAAACTATTGTAGTTAGAATCATCAAAATTGTTAAGTAGGTTTCTTATTTATATTGCTTTTAGGGTAGCACAGCACACTGGGTATAGCTAGTAAATAAACAAATAAAATATCTTTGTTTTTACGTGATTGATCATTTTCTTAATGCAAAATTTTTTAGAAACTGATTTTCTGCAAGATGTTTTATATGGAAGATAGGGTTAAATATCGGCAGATCCTAGTAAAAGGAAAGGATTTGTTTTTAATTTTTAAGAATTTTTTATTCATCCCTGCATAATTTCTCATACAACTTTTGAGTTTGCTCTGTTTTGTTGTTATAAACAATATATTTGCTTCCAAAATCCTACTTTCTGATCTCTCGGATTCCGTTTTTATTTAAAATCGTTGAAAAATTAAAAACTAAACGTAGTTGCAAACTTAGCCGGCTTACAGTCGATTTTAAGCCGCCGCCGACATATTTAGTGTCAGTCGCCGCCGCCGTTAATATTTGTCGGCGCAGGGCTCTGTACACTTCTAGTGTACAATTGCAATAAAATAGTTCTTAGATTGCAAAAAAAATGCAATTTATTTAAAGAAATTAAATATTTTATTTACGGAAGCAATTAAAGGTAAAAAGGAATTTAAATTTTAAAAATTCTAAAAGTATTTCAGCCACCGCCGCCGTTAATAATATATTTGCTAAATTTCCAACACTGTCGAAGAAAAGTCGGAAAATTCAATAGATGAAGAAGTGTACAATTGCAATAAAATAGTTCTTAGATTGCAAAAAAATGCAATTTATTTAAAGAAATTAAACATTTTATTTACGGAAGCAATTAAAGGTAAAAAGGAATTTAAATTTTAAAAATTCTAAAAGTATTTCAATTGATTGTGAAAAAATAATCAACCTTCAAAGATGACAAAAAATCAAAATAAAAAAGGAAGTGTGAAAAAAGGATAATAAATAATGTGAAAAGCAATAATAAAATGAAATAATACGTGTCATGTTGTGTTGTTATTGACAAAAGATGTGAGATTTTATTTTTCTTTAGAATTTCTAGTCTATTTATAAATTTAAATTTTTATTTATAAAATTGCAAATTTATTTTATTTTTTGCTAAAATGTATATTGACTGTAGCCAACAACTATTGAAGGAAAAGAAACGAAAACAATTCAAGCAGAAAATACATATAAACGTTAATCAAAACATACACAATGCCATCTTGTGGTGGTCCAGTGTATCAACCCACAACGGTCTCATATGAGCCACGTTCAGGAGGCGGCAATGGTTCAGGAGGTGGTTTAGGATTTTTGGGACCAGCCTCTTCCATTGGAGTTGATTCTCCCCTGCGTATATTTCGTAAACCGAAACCACAATTGGCTCTACTTTTGTTCTCTTTAATATCCTTGGCCGCCGGAATTGCTATGCTAGCCAGCGGTGCAGCTGACTGGATTGAAGACCAAGAATTCGTTAGACAACAACAGCAGCAGTTACCCATTGAACAAACCACTGACGATGAAGTAAGTGAAACACAAACAGAAGCTGTAACACCCTGTGTCAATATACCATTGGGCATATTGTTGGGTGGTGTATTTATGACTTGTCTAGGCATAGTTGGAATGGGTAAGTTTAGTTTTCTATTGTATAAAAAGAAAATTTAAGCAAAATATGTTAACTTTTACAGGACTCTATTTAAAAGTTGCTGACTGGCGCCGCAACTGTGTATGTCCTTGTCCGTGTCCATTTTTCGATAAAAAACAGTCGTTGGCTCGTCAATTACAATGTCAAAATGTTGATGGTGGTTGTGGCCAAGGCATAATGGCCTTGAATCCTTCCACAGATCCTTTAGTTTCGCACACACAATATGCTCCGGTTTCGGAGTTGCCCTCGTTGCGTGCCGATGATGAGGAACGTCGTAATTTGATGCCCGATAATAAAGATTGGTAAGTTTTTTTTTTTGTAAAAAATCAATACTCGTTTTATACGATATGACAGATGTCTGGTACATTTTTGAAATACAAATCTTATAAATAAAAAAAAGTATTTATTAAAGTAGTAAACAGACCGCAATGGTGCTTTTGGAATTTACTATATATATTGTTTATAGTCATGGGTTTTTATGGTACTTTAATGGGATAAATATAAATAAAATAAACTTTTTTATTTACATTTTAATATTATAATTATAATTTCTATATTACAGTCTCAGCAGTGCTGAAGAATCTGATCGCATGCTTGAACCAGATCCAAGAATTGTTTTACGTCCTGTGGGTCGTGTTGAAGATGCTTAAATGATAATTAACACAATAATTAATAATAATTCAAATAGCAGCGAATGAAAAATATAAATGTAACAAGAAATCTCAACAATCAACACCAACAAACAACTCTTAATATCTATTTTAATTATTTACATTGTCTTGTAAATTTAGTTTCATACATTTTATTAAAATATTTAGTTTATTTTAATTGTAACGTTGTCTCAAAACAAACAAACAATATTAATTATATTCGAATTTATATGCAAACAAAAATAATAATTTATTAAAAAAACATTATTAAAATTCATATAAGATATGAATTAAAAACCCAAGATTAATAACAAAAACAAATTTGTTTGAAAAAATTGTAATTTAAAATATTTCAAACAGTACAACTACTAGTGCTGCTTTAAACATGATTTATATTTTTGCTAGTATTATTACTTATGCCATGATGACTAAATATGTATGAAACTTTTTAAGTTCTTATAACTGTTTTTAATATGTCCATGAATTTTAATTGAATAATTTTCCCTTTATTAAGGATGAGGGTAGATTTACTTTTGAATTGTAATGTACAAATAACAATTAACAAATATGTATGAAAATTTAAAGACATTCGATATATATTTTGCCAGGCTTTTGTACTTAAATTTTTTAGTATATTTTTTTGTACTATTTTTGTTAAGATTTTACTTTTATTACTAAGAATCTCGTTTTAATTAAATTTAAATATAATGAATATTCACTACGTCGTTCTTTTTTATTCGAAGACTTAATACATATTTGTTTTTATTTTAATACTTAATACTTTTAGCTGTACTATATCAATGGCCGAATATAAATAATTTTACTTAAGTAGAAGATTAACAAACACAAGTCATTTACAATTAAACTTTTTGCAAATTAGCTTAATAATTTTTTGAAAATTTAATTGATACAACTAATACACTTGTATTTGTATTTCGTCATTCATTTTATCATTATTAATTTTAATTTTTAAGATTACAATTACAAAAACAAAATAACACGTACCAATTTAAATGCAGTTTGTTAATAAAGCACGTCCATTGCAAGCAAGAAATAAAAAAACAAAAATAATAAAATAAAAATTAAAAAATGCTTTTATTTAAGAAATTTTATGGGTAAGTGAACATTGTTTTCTTTACAACACATTTATTGTTTTGCTATTCAGCAAGCTGAATTAGACTTTAACTTAATTTAGTAAAATAAAAGTGGTGATAAATAAATATCTAGCTATTTTTTTTTAAATTCAGCTAGCTGAATTAAGGTGAAATAGAAAATTGTAACGAGAAAACAATCAAAAACTATAAAATAATATAAATTCCAGCTGAATTAGACTTTATTATTATAAAATTAAAGAACTTACTGTTTAAATTTGTTAAACAAATATTTTTTTAAAATTCAGCTGGATGAATTTGGTTGAAATTGAAAATAGTACCAATAAAACATGTTCTCAAATCCAGCCAGCTGAATTAGACTTTATTAATATAAAATGAAAGAATTTACTATTTAAATTTGTTAAACAATTATTTTTTTAAAATTCAGCTGGCTGAATTTGGTTGAAATTGAAAATAGTACCAATAAAACAAGTTTAAATAATAAAATATTAAATTTATTTAAAATTCAACTTGCTGAATTGAAAAGAAAAGGCTGTTCAAATTAAATTTTTATATTTCTTCATTTTAAATTCTACAAGCTGAATTAAGTTAAAATAGAAAATTTTATTGAAAAAACCTTGTCCAAAAAGGTAAAAAAATATATTTTCTCTAAGTTAGCTAGCTGAATTAGACTTAAAGGCTTTCAAAATTAAAAGTGTGCTGTTATTATTTATTCATTAAAGTTTTTTTTTAAAATTCAGCTTGCTGAAAAAGGCTGTTGAAATTTTTTGTTTAATTCAGCAAGGTATTCAGGTATTTTATACCATAAAATTAAAAATATGCTGTTTACATATAAATTGTATATATTTTTTAGAAATGTTTTTCAAATTCAGCTAGCTGAATTTAGTGGAAATAAAAAATTTTATTGAAAAAACTTGTTAAAAAAATTTAAAATATTTTTTAAATTCAGCTAACTGAATTAGTTTCAAATACAATATTTATAAAAACATAGTTTATAGTTTAACCATATATAATATTTTTTTCAATTCAGCTAAGCTTATATTTAACGTAGAAGAGGTAAATCTTGTTTAAATAGTTTTCTTGTGTTTTGTTTTTTAATTCAGCTAGCTGAATTAAGTCTAAAACGTTTTTAAAAGAACATTCTTTGTATATGTAGTATATAATCAAATTTATCTCAAATTCAGCTAGCTGAATTAGTTTTAAATGTGAAAAAGCTAAGAGGAAACTAAAGAAATAAAAGTTTTATTAGATTTCCCCAGACAAAAACAGTAAAATGTTCAATTATACCCAAAAATGATTTTAAATTAAAAAAAAGTCATATTTCCTCAGAATAATATAATAATGAAGAATCGTTGTTGCTAAAAGTATCCTACTGCGTATAAGTAATATAAACACGTGGGATTAGGATTGTATTTTTTTTTATTAAGATTTATTATGTACGTTTGTGTGTATCTTTATTAAGTTATATATGAAATTAATATGATAAATATTTTTTTTCTTTACATAAACAAATGTATTTTTTTGCTGAATGAAATTTATGTTCAAAATTACCATATAATGTAAACTTCTACTTCTTAGCGCTAACGGTGTCAGATTTTTTTGCAACTTTGCCAACTGACTTTGTATCAGTTTGTTTTTTCGCAACTGGTGTTGTGGTCTCCTTCGCCTTTGTTGATTTATCAGTGATGTTCTTTTGTGGCGTTGATTTAACTTTATCAGTTTTTATTGTTGGCTTTTCGACTTTATCGTCTTTTGGTTTTTCTTTTTCTTTATCCTCCTTGGGTTTCTCTTTTTCTTTGTCATCTTTTTTAGTTTCTTTCTCTTTTTCTTTGTCATCTTTTTTAGAATCCTTCTCTTTGTCATCTTTTTTGGACTCCTTCTCCTTTTCTTTGTCATCTTTTTTGAGCTCCTTTTCCTTTTCTTTGTCATCTTTCACTTTCTCTTTTTCTTTGTCATCTTTTTCCTTGTCGTCTTTAGGTTTCTCCTTTTCTTTATCATCCTTTTCCTTTTCTTTGTCATCTTTTGGAGTTTCCTTTGTTTTTTCAGAATCTTTAGATTTATCCTTTTCATCCTTATCTTTGTCACGGGTACTTTAGAAAAAGAATGTACATAATTATTACAAGTTAAAATCTAAAATTTATTTATGTTTACCCTTCAGTTTTAGCATCCTTGTCCTTATCCTTTTCACGTGCAAAATAAGGTGCTACCCTTGTGTAGATATATGATAAAGTGGAATTTTGATCTCGATATTTGCGCTGAATGAACAATTTTAAAAGTTAATAAAGAACAAAAACATCATAATATTTCTTGACTTACATTTAAGGAGTAGAAATCTTGATTAGCATCGGTTAATTTGCGTGAAACACTTTTAACTTCTGATTGCAAATCCTTGATCTTGGTGGTGGACTTGTTGTGTTCCTTTTGCAAATCTGTATGTTGTTTTAGCAAATCATTATAGAGTTTTTCCAAATCTGAATAGTTCTTTTCCGTACGATTGATTTGAGTTAACAATTTGCCCACATGCACAACCGTACCATTGAAGTTAATTAGTCCTATGGTGGGAAATTGAAATTTACTTAAAATATTAAATAAAGGAAACTTTTTAGGCAGGAGTTTTTACCATCTTTGTTATCATCACCATCAATAGCAGTCGTCTGTTTACAGTTATCTTTTCGGCCAAATATATTTTCATATTGATTATTGCCAGCAGCAATAAGTTGAAGTTCTTCCATGGGTAAATCATCGACATCTTCAATGGCGGGTGGTGCTTCCTGAGTTTCTTCTTTGTCAGTTAGTTTGCTAAAGTTAAATGCAATAAACTATGATAAGAGTATTTGAAACAAATGCTTTAACTTACCGATAGTATATAGCCTGACGTGTGGCCAATTTTCCTAGTACTTTTTTGATTTGTGAACGTGACAGATTCAAGCCCATGACGGTAAATAACTCTTCTAAATCCTTTTCAAAGATATAACCACAATGCGTGGTATCAAAGTAAACAAACGAAAGCAATAGCAGAGGTTTAACTACCACCATTTTCTTATCGCTAACCGATAATTCGCGATCCTTGCCATTGGCTATGGAGGTGGAAGTGCTTATTTTACGTTTTCTAGATTCAGATTTTATAGATTGTGAATCATCATTATGATGCTCCTTGCTGGATTTTTCTTCACTGTTTGTTTTGTTGTCTTTCTTTGATGTTTTTTCTTTTTCTTCTTCCTTTTCTTTACTTTCTTTTTTAATTTCTTTTTCGCTATTGGATTCTTTTTTAATTTCTTCCCCTGCTTCAGATTTCTCCTTTTTAACATCACCTTCTCCTTTAATTTCGGTGATCTCACAGCTGTTATTAGTAGCTGGGGTTTCTTCATAAAGATAAATTTCTTTATAAATGTTAAAAGCAAAGTCACGCATTAACATGTCATTAAAGAGTTCAGCAAATAATGAGACCTTGAAATTTAGCCGAGAAATTGATATTTAAAAAGTTGCTTTTATTTAATATAACAAAACCCACCTCAAAGAAACGTTCTTTAGTATCATCGGGATGATAATCTAATAAAACAGACAAAGACATAACGGCACAATCAAATTTACCACCCTTAGCCTGTCTATTGGGATGCACCACCACATGAGGAGCGGAGGGCAAAGTGTAGCGGCGTATAAGTTGAGCCTTTTCCTTTTCACTCATTTCCTTTAAGTTATTTTCCTAGTAAAATATATTGTTAGACAATTTTGTATAGTGCTGAACAGTCTATATAAAAAAATTAAATTACCTCAGGATTTTTACTCGAATCATATTCGTCGAGTATAACAATGTCACTTAATTCAAAATCTATTATGTCAGCCCAATCTTCTGGTTCTTCTTTGCCATCTTTGGCTTTAGCGGAATTCTTTTTATCGGTGGTTGCTTTGCCTTTAGCTTTTTCATCATTAACTTTAACTTCTGAACCCTTCTTTTCGGGTTTCTTTTTATTTGCCTCCGTTTGCTTTTTATCGCCAGCCTTAGAATTATTTTCAGAATCTACTTCCATTTTTTCTTCATCCTTCTTGGCTTTAGTGTTGGAATCATTTGACTTCTTGGCAGCAACCGTTTTTTGAGGTGATGACTGTTCTGGCTTGTTTTTGCGTTTATTTTTATGTTCTTCAGCCTTTTCGGTATTTAAAGCTTTAGCCAAGCGGGCCATAACAACATTACGCACTCCTTTAATAAAAAAATATTTTATAAACTAAGTTAATAATGAAGTAATTTAAATATAAACCCACCTTTGTCAGGCAAATTACGAGCCAAAAGTTCATCACGTATTTCTTGTACTTTCATACTCTTCAAATCCAATAGCGAGTAGTGGGTAGGTTCCGGAGCTGGTTCATCCTGTAATATATACATGGAATTGCATTAAAATATCTTCCTGAAGTACACACCCCATTTTAAACATGTACAATATTACATATAACAAACATATGTATTTTAATGCATCAACCAATCATAATATGATGGAAGATGTTATAAAAATACTGCCTCATTCATTAAAGTTCGAAAAAAATATAATGAAATTTATATAAACTACAGCAGCTAAGCTACGAACAGCTTAGAAATTCTGCTTAAAAGAAAGCAAAGAAGTGTAAAACTAAATAAAATTTTATATATTTTGGGAATAAAGAAAAAATTCGCGAAACTTAAAACATAATTTGTATGCAGGCAGTATTAGAAGAAGAAAAAAAGTCCTAATAATTTTAAAATGTAAATTAACAAAATAAAATTATGTTTAGTTAAATTGAATGTGTGAAGACAGACAAAAAGAGGCGATGATCTTAGTGATCATTCCCTTCGTTTTGGTTAAAAAAATTATAGACGATGAGACAATAAAGGCTTGATAAGATTTCCTAATGTCCATTCGCCAGCTGAGTGTGACTGTGAAGGACGGTTAAAAGATAAAACTGATTGATTTTGGACTAATTAATCACTTATTGTCTAGAAAACTAAAAAGTAACAAAAACTTAAGCTATTTTGAATTATTTTTTTTGTGCCTGTTCGTTAAGAATATCATCACCAACTTGGTCAGTTACATTTTCTTCTGCAGCAGCAGTTTCATCGACATTATCTCCAGCATCAGCGTCCTCAATAACGACATCTTCATCAGCAGCTGGAGCGCCACTAACATCTGCCGAAGCTGTCGAATCATCCATTTTTTCCTCGGGATCTTCTTCGTCTGCGTGTTCTTCCTGTACGTCTTCTTCGTCGTTGTTTTGTGCCGTACTTTCATCCTTGTCAGGATTTTCTTCATCGCCGCCTTCCATTGCGCTGTCGTCGGCCAACGCTGAGTCATCTGCCATTTCGACATCATTCGTTTTGTCGTTGTCTTCAGTGACGTTTGCAGCAGCAGCCGCAGCAACTAAAGCTGCCCGTCGAGCAATAACATCATCGGCGGCAGTTTTATAAACTTGGGTCAATGTTTGCCACTCTTCAATGCTGGGCATACATGAGTGCACATCAGGCAAATAGATAACAACAGTTTCTACGCGAGGTGGTCCATCTTTCTCCATATTTTTGTACTCAGTGCGATGATAGTAGAGTTCCACAAAACGATACCTAATCGAGTAGAGCAGAATTATGCAGATGGAAGAAAACAACGTTGTATTTCATTTTCATGTTCCACATCATATGATTTGAGCGGGTTTAAAACACCAACAACAGCCAAAGGATTCGTCAATAGTAGATTGTTTGTTTCAAGTTAAAAAATCAATTTGCACAAGCCAAACAAGTTGAAGTTCAAGTTAGGAAATTAAAACAGCAGCCACGGCATCGGTTAAACGGGCCATCAGAGTCCGCAAAAGCGACGAGCACCAATCACAAGTAACAGTTATGAAATAGTGATGATTTTGTATTCGTTTCATTTTGTTTTGTTTTAAATATTATTAATTTTTATTTTTGAGTTTCAGTACAACAAATTGGTCGCGTAAATAAACATGGAAAAGAAAGAAAAAAATCATAAGGAATGTGGCATAAAACTATGCATAATGCTGGTTAGAAAAAAATTAAAAACAACAACAACAACATTACAATTATTTCTATATAATTTATAAAGTAGAGAAATTAAATTTTGGTATTAGGCAATCAAATAAATTTAATTCTATATGTTGCTCTTTTCATATATACACAAGATATTTTTGGTATATATTTATAATTTTTTTCTTTTTCGCTTTAAAGTGCTCTTAGCAAAATTTAGCTGGAAATAGAAGTGGTGTTTCATTTTATAATTGTTATTATATAAAAGTAAAAATAAAAATAATAATAATAAAACTTTGTCATTAAGTTTATAACTCTCTAGATGCTTTCAATCGATTTCAAGAGGAATTATTCTTTAATTTTAAAGAACATTTCATCATGAAATTAAAACATGTTCAACTAGATTTGTAAGTAAATTCATGAACTTTTCTTTCTTTTATAAAAGAAATCTCTTAATTACTAATCATACATACCATTGGGTACAATTGGACAAATCAATACCAGTAAGAGCTTTGCAAGTACGTATGGCTGTGCGTATTAGTACAGAGGGATCTGTATCAGGATTTTCACCATCCAATGAAGGTGACCAAGGACCACCAATAGCCATTGGACCGGCACGACTCTTAACACCCACTAAAAAGTTTATCAAACGCGATGGATGAACAGTGTGATGATCGGCATCATTATCATCATATTCAAAGCATTTTTTGTAGATTTCAGCTATAGGAGGTAATGACATTAGCATTACTTTGGCCGAATACAAGTAATTGGCATCAGCCGGTTCTAATAAATCGGGATTAGGCTGAGTTGGTGGTTCAACAATTTCATGCATTATATGAAATTGGCAAGGACGTCTTAAGGAGAAGGGATTATCAGGTGTAAAGGTCTCCGACCATTTGACATTAGCATGAAAATAGTCTGAGGGAATGTAAAGATTTGTATAACGTTGACGCAAATCTTGGACATCAGCAGTTTTACTGTAAAGAAAAACATAAGTTTATAAATATAAAATTAATTTGGGGCTAATATTAAAGAAACATTTCATCATTTAACTAAATCTTTAAGAGATTCTTGCTTAAAATGGAATTTCTTCTTTTGCTAATAATATAAGAATTGTTAAAAACTTCAAACATACCTAGGATATTGTGTTAAATGCTTTTAATTACTTACATAGTTAATAAAAATTTCGGTATCTGAACTTTATAGCGTTTAATGGCTACAGCACGACGACCCTTAGCACCAGCACGGTGCAATTCAAGGTCGCGTGCACGCTCTCTTTCTCTTTCACGTTCTCGCTCTTCTCGCTCACGATCAGCTGCATCACGTTCTTTCTTTCTAGACTCGCCACGATCTCGTTCCTTTTCATTACGTGCACCATGATTACCACGACTTTCAGCAGCTGCAGCAGCACCACGGTTATTTGCTGCTGTGCCGCGATCCCGACTACGTTCATTATCTTCACGTCTACGTTTGCGATCATGTTCCGCCTGCATAAAACGAATATTATTTGTTAATTCTATTGCTAATGAATATTAACACAAACCTCATCTCTATCGCGGGAACGGTGTAAACGATCTCTTTCCCGGTGATCCCGTTCATGCCTTCCACGCACGGGAGAACGTTTTGGTGAATTTCGACGCATCTGTCCACGTTGATATTCATTGGGTGGAGCCACTGTACTATAGTTACTCTTATTCGAACCCATCAAAGGTTGTGGCTGTTGCATTAACTGAATACGAGTGGCATTCCATTTAAACTGGCCATTATTGGAATAGGTCGCCTCAAATATGACACGATCTCCCAGTTTGGGTTCTGGTCCTTTGCATACATTGCGGTAAAAGAACACCTCATCATTGACGAGACCACAATCATTACTCACTTTCGTTACAGTTCCTATGGAATTATAGTGCGACTGACCACCACCACCTTGTTGAAAAGCAACTGGATTTAAACCACTTCTAGGTTGGGGATACGAAACGGTATTACCTCCGCCACCTGCACCACCTCCTGGAAACATATTGCCACTACCAGCAGCTTGCATACCGCCATGACCGAACGCCGCCATGTTACTTTGTTGTGCATTTTGCATAAACATTTGCGTGCCCTGATGAAATCCACCAGATTGTGGATGACCTTGCATTACATTACGTTGCCAAGGTGCATTCGATTGATTACCATACGACATTTTTACAAAATATTTCAATAATTTGCAAATTTTTCTTTCTGTAGAATTTATTCAATATTTTTTTCACTTTAATTGCAGCACGAAAGAAAAAATGCCGACCACCCAGAGATGATGAATTAAGTAAAAAGGTACTTTTTGTTAGTACAACACACATACATCAAAAGTGTAGCAGTGCTGTAATGTAGGGGATTTTTGAAAATAATTGTTTTAATATTTTGTATATTCAGAAAGTGAAAAATATAAATCACAATTTATTGAAAATATTAATTAATGTTGTTAAAAAAAAGAATTTTTCATTTCAATATGAATTCTCATCTACCAGCTCTAGAAAAACATCACTGTTAAGTAAGAAATCCAAGTTGACGAAAAATATTCGCCGCCGTCGTACCGTGTTCAATATCTAAATCTAGCTGGACAAAATTATGTGGTACCTAATTTATATGAATTTGGCCCTTTGAATTCTAAAATTGGCCTTAGAAGAGATAACTAATATATTATTAACATTAATTACAATAAAAAATGTTTTAAAAATATGTATGTTGTTTTGGTGAATAACGGACCGTATATAATAAAGCAACATTCACAATGCTAGCAACAATTTTGTTTTTTATTCATCCCTTTCTTGTTTATAGTTTTTCATATATTTTCCTTTCATTTTAGTACAAAAATGTAACTCAAGTTCTGTGAAAAAGTTGAACATACTTGAACTTCAGTTTCATTTTGTATGAAAAATTTGTTGACGTTTATTTTATAATAATTTTAAAATCAAAAAATTATCAATTAAAATTTATACAAATTATATAAAAAACTTTTAGAAAATTAATAAAAATATGTACCAGATTAAATATGTAGAGTTTTAAAAAGAATTGGTTGCTAGCATTGTGAACACCCCCTGAAAATGTTGCTAGCATTGTGAATGCGGCTTAAGCCTTGTTCATCGCTTTAGATATTCTCGTTTGATCTTTATTATACTTTTAACAGTCATATATATGGACTGACGGACATAGATAGATCGTCTTATAATCCAATATGACAAAATCTTCTTTATGATGAGTATAAAAAACTACTTAAACGGAAACTTGTTAACGGCTTCATTTAAACTAAATCGGCGGCCGGGATCAAATGTCTTTTGTCTGAATCAGTGCAAATCAGCACAGGGATGTTAAAAAACATTTAACAATAAAATTTAAGTTCCGGTTTACTATTTCCTTTGTGTATAATAAATTAAAAATGAAAAAATAAATTAAAAATGAAAAATTTGTGAAAATTTTGCGAGCAAGATTTTAAAAATAGTTTTCCCTGACCTGACTTAATATTTTTGGAAATTCAAAACCTGTTTTCTAATTTGAAAAATTGTCAACTATCACTTTTTTATCCAATTTCTTTCTATTTTAAATTCATATTTTGAAATTTCGATTTTCAATTTTGTTTTATATATAGATCAATGCAACGGGAAATTCTGCCAAATGTACCAAAGCGTGGTGCCCGGGCGGTACGATCCAGTAAGTTGGAGTTGTGGGAAAATCGTCTTTTTTAAATTTAAATTAAATTTTATATCTATAGCGGACAACGTATTTGGATTTTCGGAAAAGATGTTGGTGTTTTTATCATATTTGTTATTTCTGGTAACATTTCCATTGACGATATATTTTTGTTTGAAAACCGCAACAGTTTTCCAGCGTGTGGTTATATTTCGTTTGGGACGTTTAAGGTTAGTTTAAGGGTAAATTAAAACAGAATTCTGGTTATAAATTTATATGTATATTTCAGAAAAGGTGGGGTAAGAGGTCCTGGTTTAGTTTTCATTCTGCCTTGTATAGATGAATATGTTAAGGTTGACTTACGCACCCAATCATTTGATGTACATCCCCAGGAGATATTAACTAGAGATTCAGTGACTATACAAGTGGATGCCGTTGTCTATTACAGTATACGCAATCCACTCGATTCGGTTATACAGATTTCAAATGTGCGAGATTCTACTAAACTCTTAGCCCAGACTACTTTGCGCAATGTTATTGGTACAACCAATCTAATGGAATTGTTAACGGCCAAAGGGACATTGTCGAAAAAGATTGAAAATATATTAGATGAAGCTACAGATCCATGGGGTGTTAAAGTGGAGCGTGTTGAAATGTATGAAATTGATTAAAAAATACGAAATTTTATTTAATTTTTGTTGTATGTATGTATTTTATATTTAGTAAAGACGTACGTCTGCCAGTTTCCATGCAAAGAGCCATGGCTGCTGAAGCTGAGGCCATACGTGAGGCTAAGGCTAAAATTGTTGCTGCGGAGGGTGAATTGAATGCTTCTAGAGCCTTGAAAGAAGCTTCTGATGTCATGTCCGCAAATCCCATTACATTACAGGTTTTTTTATAATATTTTATTAAAAGATTTGTTTAAGTTAATGTTATATTTTCTTTATTAGCTTCGTTATTTACAAACATTGGCGACAATTTCAAGTGAAAAGAATTCCACAATTGTTTTTCCCTTTCCCATAGAGCTAATGTCGTTTGGTGCATCATCATCTTCATCTGTAAAATAATTTTTTTTTAATATTCCTTTAATTGTTATCTATATAAAATGATATTTTATATAAAAGGTAAAAATAAATTTAGATATTTTAATGTATTGTATTTCAATAAAATCGGATGAAAATTCAAAAAGAGAATAAGAGGCATATGACTTATATATGACACAATAAAAAAGGAAGAATCTGACAGCTGTTTCACTTTTTTGTATATGCACATCCCTGATCTAATGGGACTTTCTTGTTTTTTGAATCTGTTCAAAAAATTAAGAGTCATACGACTGTCAAATTTTCCATCCGTATTTTTTCTCAATGTGTGATGGTTTTATTACATATTGCGTTTAAACGATCCCATCCGTATTCCTCTACACAAAATTTTGACAGATCATATTACATGTTACTTTGACAGATCATATTGCTTGTGTAAACGGGCTTTTACTGATATGTAATTAGATTTGCATTTATCATTATTTTAATTATGTATAATATTTAATAGTATTGTGGTAAAGTAGATATTAAAACTGTTATAATGTTATACATACATACGTATATTTAACCTTAACAAATTTAACTATTTGTGAAAAATACCCTAGACCACAACAATGATTTTGAATATTAGCTGAAACTATAGTAGAAAAATTGATTTTTATCATGGCTAAAACCACAGCTGTGATGTTTCTCTCAAAATTTTGTGTAGAAAAGAACTGAACGCAATATGTGATGAAATCATCACATATTGAGAGAAAATTCGGATGGAAAATTTGACAGTCGTATGTCTCTCTTCATTTTTTGAAATGATTTAAAAAACAAGAAAGTTGCATTAGATCAGGAATGTATTTTTATGTAAACACATACAAAAAAAGTGAAACAGTTGTTTCCATCTTAAGCTGGAGGTCCACACTACGCGTCTTCGCGGCAAAGCATTTCGTGATTTTCATACATTCTTTGCATCCTACGCTTCATACGCGTCAAATTTTTGCTTTATTTACAAAGATCTTCGTGTTTTTTTTTTAAGTTTTTCATTTATAGTTTAACAATTTAACTCGTTTTAGTTTATTAAAATTGATAAATACACATTAAAATATATACCCTTCTCACGAAGGTGAAGGGTATAAAAAGGAATATAAATTGTCAAAATCATCTGATATATTCGTGCGCCGCTTATGACGCTTACAAAAGTAGAAAGTAGATCTACTTTAAGCATTCTACGCGTCAAGACATTCTACGCTTTGGTGCTTGTAACTTCTAGCACACAACAACATTAATTCTACTTTTTTGACAGCCTCGTAGAATGCGAAGAAGCGTAGAACGCGTGGTGTGGACCTCCAGCTTTAAGGTGGAAGTACACAAAACGCATTGCCGCCTCAACTTGCGTTGTTTACTTCCACCTTTACTTACTGTCAACATAACTAATTAGACTCCATTAGAATTCTTGATTGAAGGATATCACTTGGTTGCTCTTTTTCCTATTCCTATAGGATAATATTCATTAAATTCTATAAGAAATACAAGGTCACGTTCAGCGCAATTATGTCAGCTTTGTCCATATGTTGGCGGGGGCCAGTTTACTCTCATTATAATATTTCCTGTAGTATTCCAATATCCCAATAATATCCAGATCAGTTCTAAGTTCAAATGGTTCGCTGTCAGTGTGCAATATGCTGCTTTGGACGTTTGGGATATGGAATCCGCTCCATATCCTTTAAAACTTGGATACATCAGTGTAGATTTTAATCGATTCATTTACTGAATGAACTAAGTCAGTCGTTATCAACACTGTGAAACTCTTGTTAAAAAGGAGCGAGTTGTCAATGGTCACATTAACCAAAATAGAAGCGTTAGGCCTAGTTAAATCTCCAGATACGTGCAGCTTTTGGGCTTTACAACCATGTCAATAACCGTTTAGCAGTCTTGGGGCGGTTACTTCAGGTTCTTCCCATGTCTTTCCTACAAATATGGCAATAGCTGCTTTAGAGGCTCTAGCTTGGACGAGGTGTTTCCCAGAAAAAGCCACACCATTCGCAAATGCAACAGATTTGCTATTCATATATGTAGGTATGTTGACATGCAGAAAGCAGGTCAGGATTGATCGTTGATCTAAGATGTAAATCAAGGATCCGTTCCAATGCTTTTAAGAGGAATGCTGATAGACTGATGGCGTTGGTACAGTGCGGACAGCCTTTACTCCTTAATGGTTAATGATTCGGGTGTATACAACCATATAGGCCGAATATATCCACATCAGCCAGGTGCAGAAAACCTGTATTAACTACATCAATATTATGACAAAGAATAAAGTAGAAACAATAATATTGGTGCAGTTGAATCGATTTACACTAAACATCCAAAAATAATAGATAATTTTGACCATAGATAAAACTATTTGAATTTTAACATTTTAATTAATTGTGGTAACATTTTCCAAATGTAAAAATAATAATTTTTGCGTTAATTGTAATTACAGTTGATGTGATAATGATATTTGGGAAATAATTAGTATTTTTTGACCATTTATTTTTAGACAATATGATATTGTTGCGGTTTGATAAAAGTTGTTTAAGTTTTAATTACATTTCTGTTATGTTACAAATAAACTTATCGGAACTTCATTTGGATTATTTTACTTGTAAATACAGTCGCTGCAATAATAATAGCGACACTAATATATTTTAAAATTATTCTTATTTTAATATACATATTATAAATTATATTTATTTTAATATACATATTTTTAATTAAATTAGTGCATATGAATTTAATATTTCATCTGTGGTTTGTCCTCAAAATTTAGGTGAATGACCGCCACTGCATATAAATTAATTAAAATATTAATTACAAAATATTTTTGGTCTAAATTTTAATTTTTTCGTTTTAAACAATTCAAATAAATATACCGTGATAAACAACTAAATGGTTCAGTTTATATAATATATCCATCAGAAAGTTACATTAAAATGGAAAATTGGAAAAATAATGAAGAAATTAAAATATTTCAGGAATATTTAAGAATTCCTAGTGTTCATCCCAATGTTGACTATGGTAATTCTAGAATTATTGCATATATAATTTGCTCTTAATTGGGATATAAGTAAACAACAATACAAACTATATCATAACCTTTAACCTATTTTAGAACCATGTATCAAATTTCTAAGCAAACAAGCTGAATCCTTACAACTGTCTTATAATGTTATTCATATAGATGAAAGCTTAAAATCTCCCATATTTATTGCCTCCTGGATCGGCACCAATCCAGAATTACCTTCGATTTTGGTAAATTCTCATATGGATGTTGTACCGGTGTACGAAGAGAAATGGACACATGCTCCTTTTGCTGCCGACATTGATGCTGAGGGGAGAATTTTCGCTAGAGGTGCACAGGATTGTAAATGTATTGGTATGCAATATTTTGGAGCTATACGTTCATTAAAGAAATCAAATATTCAGTTCAAACGTACTCTACACGTACTGTTTGTGCCAGATGAAGAGACTAGTGGAGAATATGGCATGAACAAATTCAGTAGAAGTAAAGAATTTCGCGATTTAAATGTTGGATTTGCTCTAGACGAAGGAGCGGCTGAAGAGGATGAGAAATTTGTGGCCTATTATGCGGAAAGGAGCATATGGCGTAAGTGTTTATTTTCTACAAAATTTTGACTTTTTAAATCTTTGTAAGAAGCAACATTTAGATCCTAAAAAATAAAATAATTTTAATACAAATTAATTTGTATTCTCTACAGAAATCAACTTTAAATTCAATGGACCTGCCGGACATGGATCGATATTGATGGAAAATACAGCTGGTGAAAAACTAGCTCTATTCCTTAATGAAATTGTCTCATTTCGATCGTCCGAGTTAAGACGTTTAAAAGAAAATTCTGCATTACAAATGGGTGATGTGACAAGTATTAATTTGACCATGTTGAAAGGAGGCATACTACCCAATATTATACCTTCACAATTGGTAGCTTGTTTCGATATTCGCATTGCAGTTGATGTTGACCTTAAAGAATTCGAACAGCTCTTACAAAACTGGTGTACTAAAGCTGGTGGTAATATTGAATGGGAATGGGTTCTTAGATGTGATACTGCACCACCCACTAAGGTTGATAAAAGTAATCCGTATTGGTGTGCTATTCAAAAAGTGTTTAATGAAATGTAAGTTAAGATTATAATAATTTTCTTAAAATTATAAAATCAATTTCTATATGTTACAGGAATTTGGTTTTAGAGCCTCATGTCTGTATGGGCGGTACTGATATTCAGTTTTTGCGTGAAATTGGTATACCATCAATAGGGCTAACTCCCATGAATAATACTCCAAGACTGATGCACGATCATGATGAAAACATTAAAGCAGATATTTATTTGCGTGGTATTGAAATCCATTGTCAAATTTTTAAGGAGTTATTGAATTTATAATATTAATTTTGAAAAATATTAATTAAACAATATTTATGAGCAAATTACGGTATTCGAATGGTCCTGATTTGGCGCTTTAATAAATTTGAATTGAACCATATACGCTATTTTTTGTCATTTACAAATTAATAGACTGTTAGATAGAGATAGATAGATAGATAGATAGATAGATAGATAGATAGATAGATAGATAGATAGATAGATAGATAGATAGATAGATAGATAGATAGATAGATAGATAGAGATAGATAGATAGATAGATAGATAGATAGATAGATAGATAGATAGATAGATAGATAGATAGATAGATAAATAGATAGATAGATAGATAGATAGATAGATAGATAGATAGATAGATAGATAGATAGATAGATTGATAGATAGATAGATAGATAGATAGATAGATAGATAGATAGATAGATAGATAGATAGATAGATAGATAGATAGATAGATAGATAGATAGATAGATAGATAGATAGATAGATAGATAGAGAGATAGATAGATAGATAGATAGATAGATAGATAGATAGATAGATAGATAGATAGATAGATAGATATATATATATATTATATAGATAGATAGATAGATAGATAGATAGATAGATAGATAGATAGATAGATAGATAGATAGATAGATATATAGATATATATATATATATATATATATAGATAGATAGATAGATAGATAGATAGATAGATAGATAGATAGATAGATAGATAGATAGATAGATAGATAGATAGATAGATAGATAGATAGATAGATAGATAGATAGATAGATAGATAGATAGATAGATAGATAGATAGATAGATAGATAGATAGATAGATAGATAGATAGATAGATAGATAGATAGATAGATAGATAGATAGATAGATAGATAGATAGATAGATAGATAGATAGATAGATAGATAGATAGATAGATAGATAGATAGATAGATAGATAGATAGATAGATAGATAGATAGATAGATAGATAGATAGATAGATAGATAGATAGATAGATAGATAGATAGATAGATAGATAGATAGATAGATAGATAGATAGATAGATAGATAGATAGATAGATAGATAGATAGATAGATAGATAGATAGATAGATAGATAGATAGATAGATAGATAGATAGATAGATAGATAGATAGATAGATAGATAGATAGATAGATAGATAGATAGATAGATAGATAGATAGATAGATAGATAGATAGATAGATAGATAGATAGATAGATAGATAGATAGATAGATAGATAGATAGATAGATAGATAGATAGATAGATAGATAGATAGATAGATAGATAGATAGATAGATAGATAGATATGGATGGATGATGGATTGATGTCTTTCCTGACACCAAAACTTAGATCCAAAAATCTTACATTTAAATCAATTTTTTTTGAACTTTCGATTTCAATCTTTAGAACTTTCTGTTTGATTTGAGTTAGAATGCATTAATTGATTGATAACTCAACTATATTTTGCGCAAATTTCCTGAACTAAATGTGAATTATTTTGTGTTCTGTGTAGTAATTGTTTGTTGGGTAATAAAAAATTTGGTATTATTATTATTATTATGAAGATTATTTAAATGATAAGATTATTTTTGTATTCAAACACAGTTGACATTGACTTTTTTGCAAGAATTTTATGAAAATCTCTCAAACAAAGATTTTGCACCTAATTTTTAATCCTACAGCACTACAGTAGGTTGATCTGTGGTGTTTATTTATGTGTTTTTTCTGAAATTTATAACTTCCAAAAGCAGTATTAATCTCTTTGTTAAAGTAAACCTAATCGTTTAAGCATTTTTTTACTCGATAGATCTACATTGTATCTATATAAATCATGAGGGAAAAGTATCAATCTGCAGGGAAAGTATGATAAAAATTGGGAAGCATACCTTATTATTTTAAAAAATCCCCGTTTTTCTTTAAAAAATTCTTTAAAAATACATCTAGCTCGTGTATGTTGGCTTGAGTGTATCGATTATGTGCTGCTTGAAAATCGCTCTTATTCTCCTCACTGTGTTTAAAATACTTGTAAAATACCATACACATTTCTCTTTATAATACTTTGATTCCAGAGAAATGTTTAAATAGTCAATGATAAGAATTAATAATTTTAGTATACTTAACAAAGTTGATCTATAAACAATTAAAAAATACTTCCAGAGTTCTGTATTATTTTTAACTTAATTTGTTGATTTAAAATTAACATGGACAAATGGCAAGATAATGAAGAAATTAAACTGTTTCGGGAATATTTAAGAATACCTAGTGTTCACCCAAATGTGGATTATGGTAAGAATTATATAAAATTTGTTTTATAAGGGGTCGATGTGTATAAGTATTTTTAATATTTGACAAAATAACTATAATTATTCCCCTTTACAGAACCATGTATCCAGTTTCTAATCCGACAAGCCCAATCTCTACAGCTGCCCTATAAAATTTATCATGTTGGTGGTAATTTGAAAACACCACTATTTATTGCCTCTTGGATTGGTACTAATCCAGAATTACCTTCGATATTGGTAAATTCGCACATGGATGTTGTACCCGTTTACGAAGATAAATGGACACATCCTCCGTTTGCGGCCGACATCGATGCTGAGGGTAAAATATTTGCCAGAGGTGCACAGGATTGTAAATGTATTGGCACGCAATATTTCGGAGCAATACGTGCCTTAAAGAGATCAAATACACAAATTAAACGAACTCTTCATGTTATGTTTGTACCAGACGAGGAGATCGGTGGAGTATATGGCATGGAAACCTTTAGTAAAACCCAAGAATTTCGTGATTTAAATGTGGGATTTGCTTTGGATGAAGGTTCGGCAACTGATAATGATAAATTTGTTGCTCATTATGCGGAGAGGAGCATTTGGCGTAGGTGTCATTTAAATTTGAACCAAAAATTGCATTTCCAATTACTTCTTCCATAATTCTTATTTATAGAAATCAATTTTAAATTCAATGGATCTGCTGGTCATGGATCTTTGTTGTTAAAAAATACTCCCGGAGAAAAACTAATAAATTTCTTGAATAATGTCGCAACTTATCGCTCATCACAAGTAAAACTTTTACAATCTAATAATAAATTAAAAATGGGTGATGTAACTAGTATTAATCTGACCATGATCAAAGGGGGTGTACAATCGAATGTTGTACCCACACAATTGGAGGCTTGTTTTGATATGCGCATTGCAGTCGATGTGGATCTTAAGGAATTCGAAAGGCTTTTACAAAAATGGTGCACTGAAGCTGGTGGCGATATAGAATGGGAATGGATTTTTAGATGTGATACTGCTCCGCCCACTAAAATTGATCAAAGCAATCCCTATTGGTGTGCTATACAAAAAGTTTTCAATGAAATGTAAGTCCGAATTCTTTCGCGTTTTATATTTTTATTATAAAATTCATATTATTTTATTAAAGGAATCTAATTTTGGAAGCACATGTTTTCACTGGTGGTACTGATAGTCAATTTTTGCGTAATATTGGTATACCTTCTATCGGCTTTTCTCCCATGAACAATACTCCAACTCTGATGCATGATCATGATGAATATCTTAAGGCTGATGTTTATTTGCGTGGCATTGAAATTTATGTTAATATTTTTAAGGAATTATTAAATTTGTAAAAAGGAATAAATTTGGTTAAAATTTTCAAACTCCACTATCGAAATTCTCTATTTTAGTTTGAAGTTTTTTGTTGACTTTAGTGTCGGGCAAGCAACATTGGGGATCATCGCAGCAATGCTCTGAAATGTTAAAAATACTTAATTATATTTATTAATTATAAATTTAACGGGTTGTGGTTTAGTAATAGCCAAACTAGAAGTATGATATTGATAAAAAAGTAATTAACTCATAACATAGACCATTAATAGGGTTATTTCGAAGACTGCGGTAATGGAAGTTAAATTATAATTATAAAGTTATCAGTAAAGGTCTCTATCATGAACTTTCTATTGCCTCTAGTTTGGACTACTTTCGTAAGTCTGGACTATAGCCAAGGCTAAAGTCTATATTATAGTGTGGTCTAAAATTTGGTCTGCAGTCCGTACAGTATTTTTTGTCTATAGTCGGGACTACAGTTTAGTCTATAGTTGCGACTTTAGTCTGGACTATAGGCTAGTCTATAGTCTCTACTATAGACTGGTCGTTAGTCTGGACTATAGTCTGGCCTTTAGTCTGAACTATAGTCTGGTGTTTAGTCCGAAATATAGTCTGATCTATAGACTGTACTACAGTATAGTTTACAGTCTGTACTATAGTGTGGTCTTTAGCCTGGTATATAGTCTGGACTATATTTTATTTAGTCTATAGTCTAGAGTGCAGTCTATTATATCGTCTGGGATAAAGTTTATGTATGGTGCTAACAATGATCTGGGTTTTAGTCTAGACTATAGTCTGATCTATAGTCTGGACTATAGTCTGATCTATAGTCAGGACTATAGTCTGATCTATAGTCAGACTTTAGTTCAGACTTCAGATATTCCAGACTATATATTACGCCAGAGAATAGACCTGCCTATAGTCTGGACTATAGTCTGGACTATAGGCTAGTCTATAGTCTGGACTATAGGCAGGTCTATAGTCTGGAAAATTGTCTGGCGTAATATATAGTCTGGAATATCTGAAGTATAATCTATAGTCTGGACAATAGTCTTGTTTAGACTATAGTTTGGTCTAGACTATATTTTGGTCTAGGTTAGACTTTATTCTAGTATATTGTCATAACTACATACATTTTGGTCTAAAGACAGATCTATGGTCTGAACTATAGTCTGTTCTATAGTAGAGACTATATTCTGAATTATAGGTCAGATTATAGTCGGTCTATAGCATTATATATTTGTAGTTCTATAGTCTGGACAATATAATGCCCAGATCTATAGTCGAGACGAATCCAGACCGAATCATGACCTTAAGATGTTATTTATCCCCATAAAATGACTGTTAGTAGTATATGTAGATCCGGTAGCATTACCCATAAGGTTAATATATATAACCAATCACATATTGGTTCATAGACACAGAAATTGATTCAAAATAGTTTTATTACAATGCGTTATTTAAAACCTACCATTAGTTCCATTTCCTCTAACAATATTACTACCAAAATTCCTCATAATTTGTCTTATCACACCCATCGGGAAAGGAAATATAACAGTGTGATTATTTTCGGCCGATATAGTATTTAGAGTTTGTAAATAACGAAGCTGTGGAAAAATTAATAAACAAATTGAAATCCATAAAATTAAATAAACATACTTGAAGAGTCATAGGATTTGATTTCATAATATCTGAAGCCGCTTTAAGGTTTATTGAGGCATCCAGTTCACCATGAGCAGCAGCTAATTTAGCTTGGGCTTCACGATCAGCCTCCTGTTCGGCCGCCATGGCTCTTTGCATATTTCTGGGTAAATGTATTTGTTTGCTAATTCCACAAAAGAGAAATATTAAAAATTAGTCCTTTATATCTTGTATGTAAATAAAAACAATTTACATTTCAACACGTTCTACCTTAACGCCCCATTTTTCGGTGGCTTCATCTAAAATTTGTTCAACAGTTTTTGACAATGCCTCCTTAGATGTTAAAAGTTCCATTAGATCTTTTGTGCCCACAACAGTGCGTAGAGTAGCTTGTGCTAATAATTTTGTAGATACGCGAACATTTGAAATTTTTACCACCGAATCCAAAGGATTTCTTATGCTATAATAGACTACGGCATCTACTTGTATGGATACCGAATCTTTTGTTATAATTTCTTGAGGATTGACATCAAAAGATCGTGTACGCAAATCTACTTTTACATATTCATCTACACAGGGTAACAAAAACACCAATCCGGGACCCATAACTCCATCTTTTCTGTAATCAAAAATCGCAAGAAGAATACCTGAGAAAGTAACAACACAACATCTTTACCTGATTTTACCCAAACGAAAAACAATAAGACGCTCAAAAACAGTTACAGTTTTTAGACAAAATATAATGGCAACAGGAAATGTAAGGATAAAAAACAGATACGATAGAAAGATGATAAAATATTCTACAATTTTATAAGTTGTTCCACCTATAAGATTATATAATTAAAAATGTAGATATCTGTTAGAATCGCAAATGTACCTGTGGTTATAATAGGATATTCAGTTTTTAATTGATTGGGTAATTGAGTCCGTTCCATTTTATTATTTAAAGAAATTTAAATTTTACAAATAATTATTTGTCAGGCTTTATATATGATGAAACATAACCCAGCAAAAACTTTAATTTTGGAGACCCACAATACAAAATAAATTCGAAAGGAAGAACATTGTTTTTTATAAATATAAAGCAATTTGGATCGTAAATAGAGATTACAAAGATAACACAGGCCGATAAAATTGAAAAAAGTCGAAACCCTGAGACCAAGTTATTATTTTCTAAACGATTGAGCAGCGCATCAAGTAAAGATATCTCGAAGAATAAAGAAGATATGTTAAGAGTTTATTTTAAATCTGACTGATTGGATTTCAGATGTCATACAACATTTTATAATAAAGTTGTTTGTGAAAAAATTCTACTTTTTTAAATTTCAGGACACGATATCTCGAATTCCAGATGTTATCAAAATAGTCTGATACCAGATTCGGCGTAGCTGAGGTAAACATTTGTCGGCCTGTGTAATTGAATTTCTTGAATTGTGTTGTCATGTGTGTCCCTATTCCTATTATAATTCACTGAACTAAAGGGTCATATTTCAGACTGATACAGTTCTGTTACTACAGTAAAATGAGAAATTTATTCAACCATTGACCAACGTATACGATTCTAAATTTTGAGCTGCGCGAAATCCTAAACTGATCTCAGAGTTTCTCAATGGCGTAGCAATTATAGCCTCTCCTAAACAACTGGCAACTTCTTTTATACTTACTAATAATAAATGAGACTCTGTAGACCGGCCATGGACGGAATAACCATAAGTAAGTAGTGACTACATCCAATACAATTCAGTAGCTTGGATGCAGGCTCGGTTCCATGATCGGATGACGTAACCTAATCAGTTACGGAACTTAAACACAACGATTATAGAAACCATAACAAATTGTAACCAACCGATTACCCCGATGACGACCTTCAGCTTCAGAAAGTGGACGTTTGCACGCATCTAAATACAACGTGTCAGCGCAAGTCTGCAGTCCTAAGCGAAACATCTGTATTGCGAAAGTCCATCAGCCCAATCAAGGATAAGTTGTCTTGGCATCCTATTATGGTGCAAACCATGGTCTGATTGGATAGTTAGAAATCGTGCCAAAAATATGAACTTCTCACAATGCTATGCACCAACTGATTTCGCTTATCTTTCAGTACGCAACAAACGTGTAGCAGATTCCGCAAGTGGTCATCATCTAGTCATCGGAAAAATTCGACTATAAGGTGCTGCTATCAGAGTTTGGAAGGATAAGAAGAGAGTGTACAATAACATAGCGATGGACAGCGATCAGATTCGGTTTCTTCTCCTAAATATGACCAAAATGTCTTGCTCCGAGATTTGAAATTTATGACATCATGAATTATTTCCTAAACAGATTTAATGACTGAAACACTTGCATGTTTTCTTCGACACTTGGAATTTTTTTGATTTCCTAATATTTATGACTATTGATATTAACTCAATTAGACCGATCCCATTCAGAGATTCAGAAGTTGTTGTTTAAGCGAATCTTTGTTATTTTAAATCATTTAGACAGAATGTCTAAGTGCTTAACGTGAACACCACTTGCCTTCACGGCCTTATTTCACGGTAGTCATTTTCATCTATTGGCTAGACTTGAGAATGGGCTACCATGCGCCCCTGAATCCTTCTATTTTTATACATGGTTGTGCCGGTCCATGTACAAGCACTTTGCTAAAGTACTCGAGCTATCTAATCTCTTGCCATAGTAGCCCCGTTGCGGAATAATAGGCAGCATGGGATCAAACCCAATGCAAACCCCGACAAGGAAAAAAGCTATCACTGGTCTATAGTCAATAGGAGGGGAGACAACCCCAACATCAGGAGAAACCAATCCTCCGGTATTGCGGAAGGTGACCCTTTAGATGTCATGAAAGACTACATTACTACCCCCATCAACTAATGACCCATTCCAGTACATTCCTTAACATTTTAAAGCGCGCGAAACCATACTACTGATATGGCCCTGTTGAATCATTTAGACAGGTAGACAGGGTTTTGCAGTGCGATATGGAAGCTCATTAAAATAAAAATGTCAAAAATTCAGAAAAGAGTAGGAGAAAGAATGTAGCATTCTTTTCATGAGATCCTACTTAGCTCTGTATTTGCAGGCGATCGTAGTAAACTAACACCCTATTTGTATTCAAATGTAATATCCGCGTTAAAATATTGACTTAAAATGGCATACATCACGAAAGTCATAGATCCGGTCAGTAACTACTTTCTTGGTCTCTAAATATTTCTCAAAATGGGAGTTTACTTCTAACCTGACGGAGGCTACTGTTTCAAGATTGAGTTTGTTACTTATTTTGGTTGGTCGTTTTCTGAACAAAATCAAAATGAAATTTTGTTAATTAAATTTCTTGAAAATTTGACTAGATAAATACATACATATAATTTTAACCACAATTACTACTTAATTACAAAATAAATTTTATCTGTGGTTATTTATGAACTAGAGTTAACATTATGATAAGTTAAAATTGATTGCATTTTAATATCCCAGCAAAAAAATAACTTCCAAAGAAGCGAAAAAGTCTGCAAAAGTGATGATTTTAACGCAGGCTTGTCATAGAAGGGATGTTCTTTTTTGATTTGATTCCAATTTCACTACTTCTGAAGTCATTCTCATGATGCAGGTTAGGTTATTGCCATAAATTCCAAATACTTCCCGGAAACAACCATAAAAACTTTATTATTACCTTTTCCGAATGGGCTCCTAATTGACCCTTAAGTATTAATAAAACATACAATTTATTTCAATAAAAATATTAATATTTTTTTATTTTAAAATTGAAATAAGTTTTTAAAACAATTGACCATCAATTTATATAAAATTTATTCACATTTTCCACAATCCATAATCAACAACATAACAATCAATTTAAAGGCAAATCCAATTTAGGCATTCAAAACGGCAGGTATAAGTTTCTTATAGATCTCAATACCCTTCAAATATGTATCAGCTTTCAAAAATTCATCGTGATCGTGCAACAAGACGGGAGTGTTATTCATGGGAGAGAAACCAATGGCAGGAACACCAACGTGACGGGTATGACGACTGTCAGTGCCACCGGGGAAGACCAATGTGGTAAGTTTTAAACCTCTGTGGAGTGAAAATATTATATATAGAGATGTCTATAATAAAATTATGTATAAAGTTACTTACAAATCTTTAACAAGACAATTATGGAATGCTACCCAGTAGGGGTTTGAGTTATCGATTTTAGTGGGCTCAACTTTAGGTTCCTTTTGCTCGAATTCTAATTCAATATCACCGCCAGCTTCGACACACCATTGGCGAACCTATGACAAATGTTTAGTAAGGTAATACTGTAATAATTTCTTAATTTCGATAAAAATCTACCTGTTTTTCAAATTCAGCATGATCTACGGTAATGGCAAGTCTTATATCAAAACCCATTTGCATGAATGGAGGAATAACATTACTTTGAACACCACCACTTAAAGTAGTTAAATTGACAGTGGTTACATCTCCAATAGTTAAATTAGGATCACTTTCTAAACGTTTCGATTCATGTTCTCTAAATGCCATCATTTTGTTTAGAATATAATGCAACTTTTCACCCACTGTATTCTTTAACAGCAACGAACCATGACCAGCTTGACCGGTAATTTTGAAGTGGATTTCTTTAAAGAATTAATACAATAATGCAAGTTAGATAAGTTAGGTTTATTATAATCAAAAAGTGTTGTACTAGATATACTCACGCCATATAGATCTTTCAGCATAATATACTTTGAAGATGTCATTTTCGGAAGCAATACCCTCATCCAAAGAGAAGCCAACATTCAGTTTTTTAAAGTCATCAGTCTTAACAAAAGCTTCCATACCCAAATGTCCGCCAATTTCCTCATCTTTAAAGAGGCATGAAAGTAAATTTGTTTGTTTGTTTATTTAATATTTATTATCTCAACACAGATTATAATCTTTAAAACAATCAACTTTAGACAAATAATCTCGTCTTTTTAATTTAAAAATAATCTCTAACCTATAATAAATAACCGGCGTAAAAAATCTTGCAATAGGTGTTATCAAACCGTAAACTAATAAAGATTATTAAGTCAAATAAAGCTTTTAAAAAATTATCACAACTTTTTTAAGATTTTCAAACATTTATCTACTCTACTTTAAACAATTAATTTTTATGACTTATTACGCCTGCCACTGCTTATTACTGCTTTATAAATAGTTCATAAACTAACCTGGTACAAACATTACATGTACAGTTCTCTTCATAGTGGCTCCACTCTTTTTCAAGGCACGTATGGCTGCCAAATATTGCATACCAACACATTTCATATCTTGTGCGCCACGGGCAAATATACGTCCCTCTTCGTCCATTTCAGCGCCGAAAGGTTGATGTTTCCACTTGTCAGCAAATACGGGCACTACGTCCATGTGGGAGTTTAATACCACAGAAGGCAATTGTGGTTGGGTACCTTGCCATGTTATAACGACAATGGGCAAAGTCTTTTTGGCAGGATAGTAAATGGTTATTGGAAGTCCCAGATCTGTAGCTTGTTTCTTGAGGAATGCAACGCAGGGTTCTGGAAATAAAATAGTTAAAAATGTTATATATTTGATGAAAGCTATATTACAGTCGACTAGTTCCTTAACATTTTTTATAGAATTACGGTCGGCCTGGAAGCTTTATTCTAAGATTTTTACGAACAGTTATTTTCCCAATGGAGCCAGCCAGTCGATATTTTAATGCAAAAGATCTTATCGACGTTCTGAGTGGGAACTATATAATCTGTTTGCTATTCTGAAGCTAGATATCGAGAGAAATGTGTTTATCTAACCAAAGATGGAGCCAGATATCTAGATATATGTGCTTTTTTGTTTGCTAGACTTTACATCTTGTAAAAATGAAGAGAAGTTTTAGGTTAAAGACACCAACTTTTCTTACAGGAAGGGGACTTACATATTGCCTAATAAAATCGAAGCTACGCATTACGTTTTTATGATAACTGACTAGACTATAGACAAAATTACAGTCCAAACTATAGGCAATACTATAGTTCAGACTTTAGACTAGACTATAGACTAGACTATAGACT